CCCTTCTAGGTTAGGCCAAGCCAACATATAAGTAGGGCTGCAAATGGATTGGATTCAATTTAGTAAGGGCTACATATCTGAATTCAATCCTATAAGAATATGAGAGTTTTGAATTTGATTCATAGTGAGGAGAGTAGTTGACCGGGGAGGATAGTTTAACTCAGTCGTTAAAAGAAAAAAAAAACAAAAGCAAAAAATAAAATTACAAATAAATTGAGCAAAGGGGAGCCCGGGTGATTGTAAGATGTGATAATATGAATAAAAAAAGTAAGTAAATAAAAATTGAAAAAAAAAGGAAGAAAAGAATTAATAAATAAAGAAAATAAAAAAATCATACAAAGTAATAATAACGAGAATAGTTTCGCAAAATAAATAAACAAATAGGGTTTCATGAGATAATAACCAAAAAAGGTCGATAAAAATAAAAAGAGAAAGTGAAAATAAAAAATAAAAAAATAATAATAAATAAAATGGAGATAAAAAAATTGGAAAAATTAAAAATCAAAAGAAATGTAAATAATTAAAAAGTAAAAGAATATAAAATAATAAAAATGTAGGGAGTTTAATTTCTTTGGTGTTGGTTTATTCTTGTGTTTTACTTTCTTTACTTTTGCATCGCTTGATTAATTGTGTACCTGTGGTCATGCTTGTTTGAGTCCTCATGTGGGCCCCACCTATTGGACCCGGGAGTCCCTTTCTTGTCCAAGCCTTACTTAGGCTGGTTTAGTCGGTGCCTCAGGCAATTGGAATCACTATTAAACCAAAATGATTTTAATACCATTCTTGAAGGTCCCATCACCTCTAATTCCGTATTTGATGGGTGGCGACTCCATTTACAGCCCAAAGTGAGTCGTTTCCCAACGCTCATAGGCTGGTGACTCCACTGGGGAGACCTACTTGGACCATAGGTGGGGCCCACATGGGGTACCCAAGTTGTTTATTTCTTTTTGAATAAAGTTAGCTTTGTTTTGCTAGTATTTTACTTACATGTTACATTTTGATTGCTTTATCTTATTTCTCTTATTTCTTTGTTTTTCTTTCTATTTTGCTAACATGCTTAGATTTAGGTTAGATCTTTTTGGATTGATATTTAGGTTTCTTGTTTCTAGTTTGAGCATGTTTGTCTCTTCGTTTGCATATAGGCACTGAAACTCACTAGAAGAAATCTATAAATGGAATACCTGAATTCATTTCTTGCAAATAAAAATCCTAAAGTGAATTCTCATCAACTATTTGTAACTATAGCATCTAGCATGCTCTACTCTTGGAAAAGGTCGCCTCATTTAGAAAAGACATTCAAACATGCCATCAACATTCTATAGAGGCATGTCAAAACCCATAAGCTTTAAAATAATGAGGGAAAATTCCCCAAGGTAGAATCTACTAAGAGAACACACACACACAACTATTGGTCATCCGTCACGACCCTATTGCATTTTGGATATAGAAGTTTTATTACTCAAGATACTCAATGGGTTTTGGTTAGGGTTGTAAATAGATTGGATTGAATTTGGATAATATATCTAAATTCAATTTGATAGGTTATATCTAATATTTGAGTTCGATTTGAATCAAATAGGATATGCAAAATATTGGTTTGAACTCGATTTCACAAATAGTTGGATATCCAACAAGAAATCCAATTTGATTGATAAAATAAATATGAAAATAAAATAAGAATAACATAGAGAAAAAAGTAAGGAAAAAAAGGGTTAGACACGCATCTAAGAAGCTAAAGAATAGAGAGTTAAGATGTGTTTCTTTGTTAGTCTCCCTAATTCCTCAATGTTCCATAAAGGAGCAAAAAGAACAACATTTTTGTACATGGTTAGGCATATTTCAACCAATTAGATTGAAGAAGAGAAGGAGGGAAGCCATACCCAAAACAATGGCGAGTAAGTGGTGGTGGCCTTCAATGGTTTAGCAGTGCAAAGAAGAGCTCCATCATTTTTTTACTTTTTTTTCTTATTCTTGTTTGGGTAGTTGAAACAATTGATGCATTGTAAAAGAGTAAAAACCCTCTTGTTAAAAGGGGAGGTTAGTAACCATTGATGGTTTGGGCTCTAAGAGGGGGAGGGGGTTTTGATGGTGGTCTGGGTTTTAAAGGGAGAGGGTGGTTTACTTTACCCAAAGTAAACTACCAATGGTAAGTCTTGAGTGGCATCTTTACTTGCTCTCTTTTTTTTTTTTTGTGCTTCCTATTTTTATCATTTGGCAACTCATTACCTCTAAAAAGAGGGATGGTTGTTGACACTCAAAGTGGACCTCTTAACACTTGATATTTCAATTAAAACCCCTTAAATTGCAAATCTTCCATTGAGACATCTTTATTAATCGATGAGCCTTTACCATTAGGTATACCTTGAAAGCGTTATTTGTCAAGTTTTGTCCTAAAACACCCTTGTTTAACCTTCATTCAAATCAGATTTCATTCTAGCCCTTTCCAAGACAAAACCTTTCAAACTATACATCTACATCTTCAATATGTCACCTTACTAATCAAACACCACCAAAAGACTCAAAATGCCCTTTACCTCTCAAATTTCACCTCAAAAATCCCTCATCAATCAGGAAAAAATGATCTCAGCAATTGATACATCATAGGACCACCTATCATTCTAGAAATTAATTGTCCTATTATTACCAATCTCCCAACCTATGCCCTTGTTAAGTAACTCTCTAGCCTTTAGAACTCCCCTTCATGCCTAGGCTACACTCTGGAATGAGATTATTGAATTCCCTCATTTGGCTCGAATGAACCTGCCTTTTCTTTTATTTTCTCTTGATACGAAAGAGTTGAAATCACCAATTAAACACCAAGCCTCATTAGCAATTTCTGCCAGTTCCATACTTAACATTGTTCAATTTTATTGGGGAGTGGCACATAAACAAAAGTACAAAACCAAAATTTATTCGTTGAGATTTCATTAACACTAACTTTCAAAAGGCAAAGATCTAACAGTCATTTTAGCATGTTCAGGATTGACTCTAGTTTCCATAAAAAAACCTAATTTATGGATACGATTGAGATCCATAACTTGTCTTGGAGGCAAGGTCTTCCTGCCCCTTTGACATTCCAACTAAGTAGATTCATTGTTCACAATGGAGATACTCGGACCCATATTGTCCACTCCTATCTTCTTCCATTTCACCATCATCCTCTTCCTCACCCTTATATTCTCATTATCACTTATACCTTCATCTTTGTCATTGTAGAAATTATCCTTCTTTTCGCATTTTTCATTGTCCTATACACCAGAAATGTTAATGTTGTTAGTTGTTTTAGTATTAGTGATAGTTGCACAAGACTAAGAAGATTGTTGGATAAAGCATTGTTATTCTTCTCAGTGGCCTCCATTTTATTCTTTTGGATCCACTACCATTGAGGTGATGTTCAAATCAGCTGGCTCGATGGTAATGTGCCCAACATTTATGAACCTAGCCCTTGAGACTTCTTTAGCATGATTAACCTGGTGTCATGGCCTACTCTATTCCTTGAACTGCTAATGTCATGGCCTACTCTATTTCTCAACAAGCCAAATTGTTTTCATCCTAATACATCTAATAGAATTATCGCCCCTCATGGATAGAACAATTTGTACTCTGCTTTGTTAATTAATAGTTAGTCTATCTAGTTCTTGAATTACCACCCCCCACCCACAAAAAAAAAAAAAATCTAACCATTTAACAAAGATTCAATGGAGAACTTTTCTTTTTTTTTGTTTTTGCTAAATGACAACAAATCTGGGCTTTTATAGAATTTTTCAACAACATTCTCCTAAATGGGCACTGAAACTCCCCAGATGAAACTTATAAATTAAATGGAATATTTTGCTCTGTTGGTTTAATAAAAAATAAGAAAGAAACAGAACAAAAGTTCTTAACAAATTTGGGAAAATTTTTCAAGAATCCCCCCTTTGTTTCTCTTATTTTCTATCAAGCCAAACACAACCCAATGGCATTTCTTTTTTTTTTTTTTTTTCAACACATTAAAATCATCCCTTCATGTAAATCCAACGTTTTAAAAACTGAATCAAAATCAAAGCCACTTTGGCCACCAGTTTCCAGGTCAGCAGTTTGATTGTTTGGTCTGAACAAATGACCTGTTGTAATTTAAAAATAATAATTAAAATGAAAAGGGTCAAAAACAGTTGTTCGGGTCGAATGAATCAATGGTTCAACCACCTGAATCAACAAGTCTCTGACCAAATCATTGGCTTTTGGCAAAAGAACAGTCCAGGGGTGAAATGGAATCAGTGCCTGGATGGCTTCTAGGCCAAACGATCCAGGTCAATGACGGTTTAAAAACCATGTATAGGTATGTTAAAATTCCATAAGCTTTAACATTATGTTGGGAAATTCCAAACCATGAACAAATTAATGAAACATTCAGTAACTTCAAAATTCTAAACAATTGGTTTTTCAGTTCTTATTGTAAGTTTCATGCAAAAAAAAAAAATCTCTCTCTCTCTCTCCCTAAATTAATTAAAAGATTCATAGCCAATAAAATAAATAAAATAAAGATCCATAATTACATTTCAACAATATTTACCTAAATACAACCAAATACACCAAACAACTAATAATTAATATAATTAAAAACACATCTATCTTCAATACTCACAACTTCTAATAAACCAATTACACATAATAGGAAAGTAGGTGTGTGAAACTGATCGGTTCATTTAACCAAAATTTCGAAATGAACCAACTGATAATGGTGGTTCAGTTGATAGGATCTCTGACTTGTTAGAGTAAATCCCGCTGCCACCAGGGTTGTGTAGCCCCATGAAGCAAAAAAAGAAAAAAAAAGGAAATTGAACTGAAAAATGAACTCTTAAAAAAAATAAAACCAAAGATTATTCCAAAGCCAGCTGAAAATAGAGGTTCGGTTACTCAAGATCCTAAATGGGTTTTGGTTCCCAACAGTACTCAAAGATTATTCCAAATAAAGCCAACCCAATTTCTCCTTTGTTATGATTCAATATCCAAACACAGAATTCTCTAACCAGTAGCCCAGTAAATGGTTTTATTTAAGAAAAAAGGAATCTCATTTCTCTGCAGTCAAATGCTTGATTATCAACAGCCAAAGTTACGCAAATTTCATGTGGTATTCTGAACTGACTTGGACTTGAAATCATGAACAAAATATAAACAAATAAGAGCAGAAGAGAGAAAACAATACACACTTAGTGACAGACTACAATTCACTACCCATTTGGTAGTATAAGGCTCTTAGCTGATGGCTTCCTGAATCTCATCCAATGCGTAGTTGTTTGTAGACACATTGGCGTAGTTGACCTTGTTGAACCGAACCACGACTGGGTAACGAGTCTTTGGATCCTGTTCAGTGTAACAGATTCCAGCATTCAGAAGAAATCAATACAATGAAATGGAAACTTAGCTTAAAAGGGTTGGTCTCAATTGTTTGGTTCAACTCAACTCATCAAAATCTATTCAGAGGAGAGAGAGAGAGACCTGATCCACAGTGACTACAGAACCAATGCCATTATACCAATAGGATTCCTTCCTGAGAATCTTCACCTGAGGATAGATTGAGGCAAGAAGATGAATGAACCAGAGCCCAATAACTTAGAAGTAAGAGACTAGCAGTAGAGTAGGAATGGTGTTCTTGTAGCTAGGGGTAATTAATGCTGTATCAGCTCATCCACAGCCACCCCTTTGCAGTGATCATTAATTCCATCACAAGAACGACCATCTCTCTTACTTGGTCAGAAGGAAACAATCAATACCTTAGCACCTCTCTTGGGTCCAATCGGGGGAGGCTTGGGAGGTGGGGCTCCGCCCTCCTTAGGGGCAGCCGGAGCCGGTGGCGCCGCCTCGCCCGCCGCCCGTACAACCAGCCGTGAATCTCTCCTAGTCGAGAAGGAGACTGCGTTCCTCGAAGAGTTTGTGATGGACGTCAAGTTTGATGTGAGCACGAACCCAGAAGCTGCAGATGCCATGGTGCAGCTCGCCATTACTCCTCTCTCTCTCTCTCTCTTCTTCCTTTCTTTAATTTCTGAAAAAGCGAAAAAATAAAATAAAAAATATTTTTCGTCGGAAAATAGACAGACGATTTCAACTTTCCACCATTGCCGTGATGCCACGTCATCAAAATATCCATCCTTTTTGGATAACCCCATCCCTATCGCTGTTGTAAAGATTTGTTTAATTAAAGTTCTCCATAATTCCAAAGTTGCCCCCATTATTTTAATTAATTATGAATTTGCACTTCAACTCTGTTCACAGGTCCCTACCCCGTAAGAACTCTACCCACAACACAATACACTATCCCGTGCATACTGCATAACATGTAGGAGAATGAGATGTTGGCTGCGATGTCATGTGAGTAGACGTGGACAGAGCTTTTGTGCGTAGGAGATCCTGATTTATTCAGACTCTCACAATAGAGATTGGCTTCTATCAGAGCAAATCTGCCCTTACACCGTTTTAACATCATTTTGTAACCTTATATGGGAAATATCTCTCCATAAAATAAAGCATAAATATAGAGATATTCTTAATGCAAGGCAATAAAGACTGCTTGTATGGGCTTTTCCTTGACTGCACATCTCACCGTGCATTGAGAACATCAGTGGAAAATGTTTCATTGAGATATGCGATGAGGCGCAGATGTGAATTCGTTGGAACGTATTTTGTTGGCGGGAGATCCCATCCCAACTCTGTTCACACGTGGAAGCATTTAGGTAAACCCAATCTAATACTAATCCAATGGTTAAGAATGTCTCTTCATGTGAGGACGACACTTGTAAGGAGCACAAAAGATTCGTAGTAAAGAGCACGCTTGATTGAAAAAGGTAAGCAAATCGAACGGTGAAAACACAGTCAATGAATTTCTTATCGGGTTTGTTTCAAAATGGCGGGACTTGTGGCAGTTGAAATAGAGTGAGTTGCATTTGAAGCTTCAAGCTTAGCTGCTGCGTAGGGTCTGAAAGAAACCTGATCAATTTCTAGGGTTTTCTTTCTTCGTTAATTTTCTGCGTGCCGCAAGAAGGCGATGAAGAAAAATACAAAATGTATAATAAAGAACGAATTCAGATGCGAAGATCTCTACGAAGAGGCTTGGATGGAGTTCATGGCTCTAAAAACCTGTCTGGTTCTAGGACTGGCGACGACGTCACAGGTTTCTCTTCTTCAAATTCGACCACAGACTCTGGTTTTCTTCTCACTTTCTGTTAATTCGGTCGTTTCCTCATGGCGGATTCTTCGAAGTTTGAACTGATCTGATTATGCCTAGATTAGTTTTTCTTTAACTTGATTTTGAATGAACATAACGGTTAAGTCTACAGCCTTTATCTGGGTTAGACCGACGAATGTTTTTAATGGATTTGTCCATCTTAAATCATTATATTGCAATTTTGGTGCATAGTGTTGTGATTAATCAAGTGTTGGTTGTGCTCATGCTCTGTAATAATATAACTGCCGATGGCTGCAATGTAGTGTTTTATATTAATTCTTAATAATATATATTCCTGGATAATTTGGAAGTTTCATAGCAATTTCCATCTTGGTTTTGGTTATGGCATGACTTTCGTGCTTATTGAATGTTCTACAGAATTTTTGTAATTCTGCAGATAGAAGATAGACACGCATTTACATGCATGGGGTGCTAATCAAAAAGAGAAGAAAATAAAACAAAGTAAATGTACTGCAATACCTGTTGACATAGTTTGGATCTATACTTAGGTTTAATATAGTGTCATACTGTTTGTCAATCCTGTAAGAGAATACAATTGTTATGAGATGAATAAATTTAGATAGTTAAGCAAATATGAATATATAATTTTCAGGGATGCTGGTAAAACAATTGGATTCATGAGAATATGGTTGGGATGTTGGGAAATGTTTTGATAAGAAAGAGCTGGAAAGTTGTTGATGGTTTCTTTAAGAATGTTTAGGATTAATTGTATAATTTACTTTGTCCCGTATGTTTTTTCTACCCAGTATGGGCTTTATTGCACTTTATCATAAATTTGTCCTCTTCAGCTATATGGTCTAAATTTGGTATTCATGGGAAAAAAATAGTTATGCAAATTGATGGTATTAACAGTCAAATTTATCTTAAGAGTGCTCAAGAATGTTTAGGATTAATTGTATACTTTACTTTATCCCGTATAATTTTTCTATCCAATATGGGCTTTGTTGCACTTTATCATAAATTTGTCCTCTTCAGCTATATGGTCTAATTTTGGTATTCATGGAAAACATTGTTATGCACATTGATTATTATAACAGTCATTTTATCTTAAGAGTGCTCAAGAATTTTTATTTTTTATTAATAATTATGACACTCAATTTATCTTTCAAATTTAGTCTCAAAATAGGTCTTGTTAGTTCTGATCAAACTGCAGACTGCACCTATAATCTTAGCAGAAGTGCCCTTGGGAGCATTCCATTATCAAATTTAGGTTGTTGCATAATTAACACCAACTCCTGCTAGAGCTAATATCAGATCTAAGATCATATTAACTAAAGGCATCAAATGGCAGAAAATCCATCAACCACACAACACGCAAATTGTGTAGCATCAATGCTGTATTTTGGTTGTTGTGCATAATCAACAACCTTTCATGGTTCAACCATAGAAAAGAAAATGAACTTTACATTCATAAAAAAATAAGAAAATGAACTTTAAAATGATTTATCTTTGATAGTCATGCATGTTACAAATTTCAATGCAATGACTTTTCATAAAAAAATAAGAAAATGAACTTTAAAATGATTTATCTTTGATAGTCATGCATGTTACAAATTTCAATGCAATGACTTTTCTTTCTTTCTCTTTTTCCCCTCTTTTCTTTTGGATTAGAAGTGGAAAACTTTTATTAATAGTAAAAGGTGAAGGAAATACGTGCAAGGAATAGCTCATGTTGCAAAGATGGGAAGACTATCTTGTAAAAATTAAAATCCCAAGCTACTTCTACATTCCATCATCTTCATCATCTAAGCCTTGTCTCAACTATATGGGGTTGGCCACATGAATCTTGTTTTGCCATTCTGTTCTGTTTAATGCCATACCCATTATTAAATTATGGGTGCTTAAATCATTTCTTATCACTTCCATCCAAGTCCTTTTTGGTCTTCCCCTAGCCTTCTAGTCCGTTCAATTTGTAACAAATGGCTTTTTCTAAGAGGTGCTGTAGAGGGTCTTTTATGCATGTATCAAACCATCTCAGTCTACTTTCTTTCATTTTATCACCTATTGGAGGCTTGGAGCTACACCTAAGTTCCTTCTTCTGACTTCATTTCTAACCCTATCCTTCTTAGTTTTACATTCATCCATCTAAGCATTCGCATTTTTTTCATACTCATTGTTTGAACATGTTTCTTAATTGCCCAAGATTCTGTTCCTAATGAGGCAAAAAAAAAAAAAGAAGAAAAAAAGAAAAAAAAGAAATGTGTGAATGTATTCTGTTTTTCATGTTTTTTGTAGTGGGATCCCAAATTGTTGTCTTTGGGTACCTTTGTTGACAGTTTGGGACCAGGGGTATTTTCGTCATTTTATAAGTTAAGTTTTGGTCAGGGGCAGTTGGGTGCATTTCTGTTGAGTTTTGGTCTCTTGGGTCTTTTTGTAACAAAAGTTATCTTTTAGGTGTTCATTTGAAGTTAGTTTTGTTCCTAAGGAGTTGTTGGTGATAGGGGTGAGCAAAAAAAACCGAAAAATTGGTTAACCGAATCGAAAAATCGGTTAACCGAACCGGTCAGTTCAATGTTTTCAAAAAACTGAAAGTTTTGGTTCGGTTTCGGTTAACCATTTAAAAAAACCAGCGGTTAACCGAACCGACCGATATATATAAACAATAATATATATTTATATAATATTATATATATTATATTAATATTATATATTATTTTTTGAAAATCTAATAAATGCCGAACTAAGACTTTTCAGTTTGGCAGTAGACTCTAGAGTGTTCGCCAGTCTACCAAACTGGCGAACAACTAGACTTTTCAGTCCCTTTCCCTTTCTTTCCCTCTCTCTCTCTCGACTCTCACTCTCTCAGACTCATTCTTTCCCTCTCTCTCTGAGCTCTCTTTCTCGACTCTCACTCTTTGGTGCTCCCAAAAATCAATGGATCAATGGGTGACAACCTTTGGCACTCCCAACTGCAATAGCTTCAACGGACCAACGGGCGACGGCCTTCGGCGCTCCCAAAAATCAATTTTCTTCTTCGTTCTTCCCCAGGCCCTGAGCTCTCTCTCTCTCGTCTGTGAGCTCTCTGTATTTCTTCCACTCTCCCACTCTCCCCGTCTCCAGTTCCTTTTTTTTTTTTAAATTTTGAAGTCATAAAAAAACCGGAAAACCTGTTGGTTAACCAGTTGCATCGGTTCGGTTAAATATAAAAACCGAACAAATCGGTTTGGTCCAGAAAATCACCCCACGGTCTGTGAGCTTGTCCAGGGGCTTATGTGTAAATATTTTAACTAGCTTGTCCAGCAAGCCAGTAAGTCTTATAAAAGAGAAGGGGGCTGTTTCTGTAGGGATCTTTTGTTTCTTTCTCTCTTGTTTGAGCTGTAGCTCAGCCCCAACTAGGGTTTTCAAGCATTGGGAGCTTTTGTTTTGAGGAGTCGACCCATTTTGGCACCTTCCAATCCCTCCATCGCTGCGTGTCCGTGCGGGAGGCCAGCTTGCTGCCATTGTTATTGTAGTGGAACTGTTTCCAGGAGGAGTTTTACTTCAGGTTCAGGTCTGAAATCCCTAAAAATCCAACTTATTTTTTTGTTTTCAGCTTGGTATTTCTTGTGCTTATTGCTGTATACTTGAGGTACTGCATGTAACGTGACCTTCTGTCCACATCAAGTGGTATCAGAGTAAGTTCTTTCCTTGGGTCTACTTCAAAGTTCATCTCCTTGTGTTTTCTATATTATCATGGCTGCAAGGGGTGGACGTGGTAGGGGTGGTAGAAGACCACAACATGTCACTGTAGAGGTTTTCCGAGAGGCTATAAGAGGACTGCAAGAACAGATTGAACACCTTGCTCAACTTGTAGCTCAAAATGCTGCTAGGGATGGTGACGTTGAAAATGATTTGGGGCTAGGAAGAAGAAGACAAACTCCTAGAGTTGATGAACAACTCACTGACATTATTAGTGAAGAATCAAGTGAAGACATTGAGCAACCTGAAGGTGATCAGCATGGAAGGAATAACAACCAGCGGTGGGAAGACCGAATAGTGCAAGCTTTACAATCCAATCAAGGTCATGGTGTTCAACTTCATATTTCTGAGTTTGATGGTGAGTTGGAACCTGAAGAGTTTCTAGACCGGTTGGACAGCATTGAAAATTATTTTGATTGGAAAGAAATGAATGAAGAAAGAAAAGTGAAGCTTGTAACAGCAAAGATGCGTGGGACAACCTTAGATTGGTGGAAAAATTACCAAAGGGATAGAGAAAGGAAGGGGAAAAGAAAGGTTAGTTCCTGGGGAAGAATGAAAGAGAAGCTGAAATCCCAATTTTTACCACCAAACTACGAGCAAACTCTTTACCAATGGGTGCAGAATTGAAGGCAACAGGAAAAGAGTGTGAAGGAGTACACAAAAGAGTTTAATAGATTAACTGTTCGGAGTAATATGTTAGAAACTGAACATCAAAAAGTTAGTAGATATATCAATGGTTTGAGGTTGCCAATACAAGATCAAGTCAGCCTACATTGCCCGTATAAGGTAAAGGATGCATATCAGCTAGCTCTAAAGGTTGAAGCTCAATTGAGTCGGAGCTTAGGGCGGAGGGCTAAGTGCTGTCCAAGGTACATCTTCATTAGTAGGTCGAAGTGTTGGGGTTGGTAGGGGTCGTGTGATCAACCAAACACGACCTACAGTCCAAGGGACTTCAAATGCAACAAAAAGCAGTCAAGGGCAACCTACTATTAGATGTTTTAGGTGTATGGAATTGGGACATCGTTCAAATGAATGCCCTAAGAGAAGGATTGAAGGGAAAACACATTTGGTTGATGAAGTCACTGATGAACAACAAGGTGATATAGGCCATGTTGAGGATGAGCAAGTGGCTGAAACTACTGAAACTAATGCTTTTGAGGAAGAAAACTTGGATGGGGATATTGAGGGTGAAACTCTAGTGATACAACACTCTATGGTTGCACCTCAAGAACCACTACCAGGGGATTGGTTGAGAAAGAATATCTTTAGAACACGTTGTA